CGGAGGAAAATTCCGTGTTGCCTAGACCACGGCCTTGCCCAACACAAGTTATAAATTCGGGCACCGCCGGGAATCGAACCCGAGACCCCAGGATTACAAGGCCAGCGTTCTAACCGCTAGACCACCGTAACAAAATCAGTACTTGATACGATATCTGGTACAGATTATTCTTGAGTAATCTTTCAATATCGTGTTAAACTTCTGCTCGTTGCAATTCGCAAGAATCCCTTCAAGTGTTCATCATTAAAACGCGCCTTACTTTAACGTATTTCAAAAAGCTAAACAATTTCTGACAATTAAAAATATTGCCTAATGCTAACAATATCAATAAAACTTTATTCTATCAAGTGAGTATTTTTCGTCAGAGTAATACAATTTTTGGGCGGGCCTCACAAAATACATCGGAGAGTCCCTGATTTCTATAAAAACCCACTTCTTGTTATTAAATGCAACAATAATTAAGAAAAAGTTGCATAGTTCATGATTACGCTCGTCATATTAATTGGCAATTATTTGCCGTTAACAGTCGTAATTAATGACGTGGTTTTCGCTAAAACGAAAATCTATAGCCATTGTCCACAACTATGCAACCATTATACAGACCTGCATACAAGGATTACATTAATAATAAAGTATCAAATACTGGATTAAGCCAGCCATTCAGGTATTGAAGCCAACATAAAAGTTCCTTTGTAAACGCATCCCGGAAACAGCCAATAAAAATATCGCATCAATCATTTGTTCCAGGCACATACATCATAGGAAGGTTCGGTCATGCCGAATCAAAAAAAAATTAAGTCCGTAGAGGGACTTTGTGTGTCGACGGGAACTTCGCATTTCAGATTCTGAGGTCAGCCCTGTCCTATTTACCGCCGTGACATGAGGACAGCGATCTGGGTGGAGGAACACATTTTTCCCACAGTCCACCCGATCTGAATAGAACAGGACAGAATCAATCACATGAGATTGCGAAGTCTAAAATCCTGTTTTAAATACACGTATACTACACACGAGTTATTTGAGATCTATTGGCTCACATCTCTGTTTTTGTCGTTAATTTACTGTATGTGCTGGGACAACTGAAGAAAAATATGGAATAATTTATTCCTTACGCTGACAAACATCGAAAGATGAAAATAAAACTTACAAAATTTTCCACGCACATGATTGAAATTTGGGTCTGTTCAAACACCGACTATCAAGACCGTTTTGTGGTTTTCCTGCCCTCAGAAAAGGATTTTAGCCCACAAATTTCAAACACCAGTCGTTCAATCGAATTGTAAGATAGTACCTTCAAATATGCCACAATCGTTTCATTACATATCCTTTATATTCCGTCTCATTCACGCTACACAGTCTTAAATGTGATACAATCTCCTTAAATACAATCCAAATAAATAATATCCTATAAAAGTTAATGTTTATTCAGCCTATAAAATTTTTCTTAGCATTCCTGGAACCAGGAAATATTTTACTGTGTACAAGACACCAGCAGGCTCGTGTTGTCGGCCGATAAGTCACTGATGCATTAATAAAATATATGGAAATAATGGAATATGACCAACACCCACCATCCCATTCATTGGCTGTCACACAAAACAAAGAGCATTTACTTTTTTAAACAAATTAAAACTAATAAATATCGTCGCATTATTCACACTGAAGAAAAATACTACGACAAAATAAACATCACAAATTCGCATAAACAGAAATACCGCAGACATGTCTCGATGTCAAGACCAATCGAAAGACTCAACCATCCAGGGAGTTAGCACGTAGGCCTATGTTAACTTACATGTAATCTCTGTGACTTTGCTTGGGCTAGAATGCGCATATACTTCCTTGTATTCTTACACAGCTAACTTTAACTTATTTGATTAAAATCACCTTACATTTTATATTCCGGATTTTGCGTTATAAATTAAAATTCTCTATGCATACGAGTCCGTTGGCATAACCTGATAAAGCGAATTGAATTCGCATATGGAGGATTTTATAGAACTTCTCCGAAAACCCCGCTAAAAAAATATTCAGACTTTGTCGCCCAATGCAACCCGAATACACAAAGCGCTTTCTTGGTTTGAGTCGCCATTTTACTGCCATGTCAACAGTTGCGCTCCTAGTGGTTATTGTCGAAATTCGTCACTTGTCCCGCACGTTACAAGAAATTTTGAAGTCCTCTTTCCCGTGTTGTAAAATTCCATTTTTGTTTGTTCTTGTCAAATAAATATCTGAAACCTTTCAGAATATTTGTGTTCACCCTGCAACGTTATTGCTGAAACTCCCTCTTGGTGCACAGCCATTAACAAATAAAACAATATACAGGGTGAGCATAACAGAACTTTACGTTTTAAAACGATACTGAAAACATATGCGGCGTGCTTAGGACTTCACACCCATATAAATCGACAGAAAAACTCTCAAAGTTTTGTTTCAAATGACTCGAGTCGTCGTTGTTGTTGCGCGCCTCCGCTAGATGCCACTAGTTTTGAAAATGGCTACCCGCCCAACAGAGTAGTTGGTGTGTTCTGCAGTTATACTGAAGAAACAGTCTGTAACAGCTGTGCAGCGTGCATTTACACAAAATTTCACACGGAACCACCCAGCCGAGTATCCGTTTACGCCAGAGTTGAGGTAGCTAATCACAGCTGACACAACTTCCATCACTGGGGACACTAAACAAAGTTTCGGACGAGTTGGATTATCGTCTCGACATCTGCTGTGTGTCTCGTGGAGCACATATCGAGTCTCCGTAGGGTGTGTACAAAACTTTGAGAGTTTTTCTATCGACTAGTGCAGGTGTGAAGTTCTAAATGCGCCGTATTTGTTTTCTGTTTCGTTTTAAAATTGTAAAGTTCTTTTGAGCTCATCCTGTATTATTGGAACTGAAGTCATCGTTTTACACAGCGGTGTTCTGCAGTGGAACAGAGAGATATGGTACACTGTAACGCCCAGTTAAATGATCCGGAAACACAATACATCTGCTTCCAGTACTGAGCAACACCCACAAGAAGCCCATACGCCTAACCCAGCGTTGATGCAGGGAAACGTTTATCAATGTCTGAACATCTAATTAAAATGTAACAAGAATCACGTATCATACGCGAGAAATTACCTGCGAGTGATTGCGTTTCATAGATTCTTTTATGCGCCACATGGCCGAGGAGTGTGGTAGTGTAATGGTTAGAATTTGTGAGGTCCCCGGTTCGAATTTAAATCTTCACGATTGGAAGTTCTGACAGGTTTTCATGTTTTCCTAAGGCCGTTCAGACAGCCGCAGGAATATTCCAGGAATGTCAAATAGGGACCATGGTTCGTCTCAAATCCTAAAACACGATTCATAACCATTCTCTCATTTCGATGAACACCACACAACTTCTGCAGTTCATAGAACTCTGTTAAATAACTAAATTTTTCCATGTGTCCACGAACGTACTTTCCCAAAAGCGTCAAACTTTGACCATGGTCGTCCAGCGCGTAGTCGGTCACATGTACTGTCCACAGATCACGAGGAAAACCCTGCTGGGGGAAGTCGTTTCTGGTCGGTGCAAGGGGAATGTTTCTTATCAGCTGGACTAGAGGGCTGCTATTGGTGGGAAGTGTGATACGTCAGAGTTTTACGCTACTACACAGACTGAAAACATCAAGCAGTTACGAGTAGTGTGTGGTGAGTGCACCTGAACTGTGTTCTGCGGGTGTTGCGATAATATTCTAGATTAAATCACTGTGCCACTGTGAGGTAATCTTAAAGCTGTGCCCATTAGAACACATGAAAGCCTGTTGTCTGTTCAATTGAATAAAAATTTACTTGGATATTATCCATCGTCTAGTAAATATAAAACGTAAAACGACGTTTCGGAGATGGGACTCTATCCCTATCTCCGGACGATTAGCTCTATCTAGTGGTCCCAACTGTGTAGGAACCTGAAGACGGAGATAGAGTCCCATCTCCGAAACGTCGTTTTTTACGTTTTATATTTACTAGACGATGGATAATATCCAAGGAAATTTTTATTCAATTGACTCTTCACCATCGTCAAGAAGTTTTAGATTTGATCTGTTATCTGCTGTTCGTTCAGTGGTTGTGGAACGAAATGCTTTTAGGACGGGTCGTCACTCACCGCAAAATCTTGCGCATGCGCGTATAACGAATCCCTAGCAGGGATTTTATCCTGATCTGTGGACTGTAACAAGCAGGAGGTATTTATACTACAGTTTCTACTCACTCGTTGAGGCCCAGATGAAGAGTTTGGCCGGCGTTCCGCAAGAGGGCATGAGCGTCGCTGTTGGTAATATTGCGAGTGGACTGTCCGTTGATGGACGATATGACGTCTCCCTCTCGGACACCCTTCTGCGCCGCCTTGCTGCCAGGATTCACCTGTGGGACGTACAAGATAGATGTTGCGTGAAACAAATACCAACACGTCACAGCGCCTTGCTTCCAAGGGAAAGCAACCAAACCCAGGGGAGCGGGGGTTACAGGATGCTTCGAACTGTGGTACGTCCTATCCGTTATTTCCCTTATCTGCTCCAAAGGGTCTGACTACTGTCCTTCGTTCCGTAAAGGGCAGGACATTTATCGACTGGCCGACTATTAGGTTCTTGAGAAGAATTTCTGTTCCACATCGAAGCTGCCTATTTCTTTATAACTTTTCCTTCCCTCTTCCCTTGAACCCCCTAGAATCTATCCCTTACGTACTACTCTACTATCCCATTGTATATTATTGATTTATAGTTTATTTAACGACGCCTTCTCAGTAGCTCAGACTTTATAGCGTCGAATGAGATAATGATCGTGAATAATTAACTTGAAAGGATGAGGAAGGAAGCGGTCGTGGCTTAATTTAAGGCACAATTCCGGTATTTGCCTGGAGATACTGAGGAAAACTAAGCAAGAACCCAGTCAGGATAGCCGATCTCCGGGCCGAGATTTGAACCCACTGTATCGTCCTTGATTTTATCACCTTAATAATATTTGGCAGATCACCTAGGCTGCCTTGCTTAAGGAGGTTTTCTGTTATAAAACAAGGAACTTCGTGTTTGCACTTTTCTCCTCGGCTTAAGGTGGATAAATCAAGGAGACCAAGCTGAAATACACAAAAGAAAGAATAAAGCAGCACAGAATCTGAGCGTGGTAATCATGTTAAACAACCACACAACATATCAGGATGTAGACGACGGAATAATCAAATTAATCTTAAAAAATGCTTCTGATAATTTGGATAACAGCTAATGAGATGATAATGTTGCGTCATATTGTGTTGAATATATACTTGTTCAATTTTTATCAGTCTAATCACAATAAAATATTATTATTAAATATTAAAATATTATTACAATTAACATTTAAATACTTAAAATATATTAAAATGATGTTCTCTGCTAATGTTAAAGTCTGGAAGCAATTATTGTCAGAAGTGCTAAACAATGCAAGAGGTTATCAGTCCGTCATTGAGCTAATTAGTTATTTCCTGCTATTAAGAAATGCGAAGGTTTGTCACAATTTCAACACAAGGTCTCAAATAGACACGAACCTACACCTCCTGAGTAACACAATCAATTACAAGATCAATGATAATATTAAACTTCCATTTCGATTGGTCAACACTCCTACTTCGTATTCGGGAGGTCCCGGATTTCAAACGTCTGCCCGGAGACCGGCTATCCTGCCTGGGATATTTCGTAGGTTTCCTCAGTCCCTCCAAGCAAACACCTGGACAGCTCCGTAAATGAAGATTTCGCCGCTTCCTTCCAAATCCTTTCCTTTCCATTTCATTATCCACTATCATCCTTTAATTCGACTCTATATAGTCTGAACTACTAAAAAACGTCGTTAAATAAACTATAAATAAACTCCAATTCTCTACGCTTACCGAAGTTGTGGTACCTACCAAAAATTCTGTATGCCTTTATTGTTTCTCCAGTCTGCGCCATGCGTCCTGTCCATCGTAACGTACGTCAATAATTATCACAAAATAATAGGCAGTGTAAGTAGAACGCATTTTACTTGTCTGGCAGATGTCAAAACAACTTAAGTTAAAATCAACAAGATTCTGTTTAAAAGGATCGCCTTAGAAGCGAGATTTCAGGTTCTCATGGCTGTGCGTATGAAGAGGTGACAGACCTCTGGGGCAGAGATTACAGGCGCAATATACTAAAAGAGTGTCTTCTTCGTATTTAAATGAGTTAGTACGAATCGACCTCCCATCAAAATCCCTGATACGACATGATATTTTTTTTTACTAATATTAGAAAAGTAGTTAAAACTTAATATTTAATTACGGCAGGCCGACCCTTTAATAAACAGAGTAAGTGAATCTATGTAACGAAATGTATTTTCTGTAAAGTGACTATCAAAACACGCTCCGAAATAAAGTTTTGCGTACGTTACTACATTAATACACAAACAATGACCATTCCAATGTGAACTGCCAACACGATTTCTGGTGGGAGAAAGTGGAGTAATTGCTTGCAAACTGATAAGATTCTAGCTGAGGGGCTTGTAAGGTATAAGCGAGTTCAAGAGAAAGTTGCAGGACAAAGTTTACACGTGTATACCTCGTCTTGACAGTCATTAACCTGACATTCTGTAAATGCGGTGAATTTATAACTTTTCTGTAAAGATTTCTATACGGCGCAACAACCCAGAAGACAGAAATCTTCATACTCATCGCCCTGATGACGGAGGCAGTATGACCTCTGAAACGTTGGTTAACATCGACCAGACTACACAGCGCAACAACCCAGAAGACAGAAATCTTCATACTCATCGCCCTGATGACGGAGGCAGTATGACCTC